GGTCTAAGGTAAGACACCAGTCCAGTCTGTGCTGAAACGCTACTGTCAATCAAACTATCGTGGGAGGGGCCTGTCTTTGTGACGTCACACAGACGGGCATCTGAGATCGGCTCGATTTGAGAAAGGGGAAAACATTTAACATTTATCATTATAGGGTGGTTGTGTACACACACTGCCAACACACATTTCAGTTCAAACAACTTGTAAAAGTGCATGTAGCATCCTATGACCCCTTTAAGTTTTTTGTTTTTTTTTGGCCTGTATTACTTTGAAACAAAATAATACAGTAGTTATTTAAATCAGTATTAGTCATATTGACTATTTTTAGGATAGCTTTTGCATCCCTTTTTAATCTTGAAAGCTTCAGTCCTGGTTGCATGGAAAAGAGACACCGCATGACATCACGTAATATTGAATATTGTCACTAAATACATGTGCATAAAACACACAATTTGTCAAATGAGTTAGAAAATTTTGGCCTCTGATTTTATGTTTTTTGGTTTTTTTTTGCCTGTATTTTAACTCTGCAGAAATGAATACAGTAGTTATTCAAACCGGCATTAGTCATATTGACTTTTTATGATAATTTTATGATGCCTTTGCATCCCTTTTTAATGTTGAAAGCTTCAGTCCCAGTAGATTGTAATTGCATGGAAAAGAGACACAACATGACGTCCCAAAATACTGAATATTCTCACCAAATACATGGGAACAATACACACAATTTGTCAAATAAATTAGAAAAATAAAATTCATTCAGATATATTCTAGCAAGTAATTTTGTAATTGCATGGAAAAGAGACATCACTAAATATTGAATATTGTCACAAAATACCTACTACCTATGCATAATAATACACATTTCTTTATTCATACAGTAGTTATTTAAACTGGTATTAGTCATATTTACCATTTTTATAAACATATTATTATGCTTTTGCATCCTTTTTTTAATCTTGAAAGCTTCAGTCCCAGTTGATTGTAACTGCATAGAAAAAAGTAACCAGTGCATACATTAAATTTTCATTTTACATGCTGCATATTGCTCTTAAAAATGGACTCATTAGATAAACTTTAAAATAGCTAGACTTCTCTATACTAGGCAAAATCCCAGGCATAATGTATTGCAAGAAAGCAGCTAAAGTTTCAAATATATTCTATACTTTAATGATGGAGGGATTAAATGACAAAATATCACAGAAAACCTGCCTGAAGACAGGAAGACAGACCTGTCCTGCTGAGCTGTGTCTTTCTCTAGGTGCTTCTCTCATGCTCAGATTCAAATAAATAAATGAGTGGTCTGCAGACACTGGCCCTAACGGCAGTGGTGCCACTCGTTAATGACCTTCCCTGGGGAGTTCTGCTCTATTTTTAAGCACAGTCAAAGCGGCCAGAATGAATGATGATATTTAAAGAGAGGAAGCCTGGTCTTCAGAGGTGTCCGAAAGCAGATAAGAAACATCTTGTAACATATTCATGGTTTTGATTATGAAAGATGGCAAAATATATACCCAAAATTATATATTATGTCAAATATTGATCTATTGTTATAATGGCACATATCCTAATTAAAGAGGGAAATTGGGTAGCAACGTTCTGCAGGGTTGGCAAACTGACAAGCATTTGAAATACAAGAGCATCATTCATAAGAGACGGCATGATGTTTACTTTCAGAAAACATCAATGAATAAGCATATCTGAATGCTTAGTCACATGCATTCATGCCTTCAGAAAAAAAAAAAAATTCAGGAAATAGTTCTCATAAATCCTAATGCTTAATTCTGAGACACTGGAGAGATACAGGATAGTTCTTCTAAAAACAGTGGCTGTGGGTTAGGAAAGGGCCCTCCAGTGGCCATGAATCTCTGCACCTCACAACCGTTGCCTGGAAACAGCCCGGTGAAACTCTGATTTATTTATTTAATTCCTTTACCACGTTTTACTTGTTCTGTTTTATTTCATTTCATATTTACTCATTAGGTAACGCTGACCTTGCATGACTTTCTGACACACTGCAGGTGGTTTGGCTGCAATCTCGTGGGTTTATTGATGTGTCTCAAACACAACATATAAGGCAACTTACTGTACGGAGGAAACCATGGACTACATATAGAGATGAAAGCTCGATGGAAGATCATGAAACTTGACTGCACATTTTACCAGACACAGTTATGACCTTGAATAGTCACTTTTAAGCTAATTACTTATGTGAATAAGTTTCTTTGAAAGTTTCTTTTTGAAAAGATAGATCACAAAAGGAAGGACGAACAGACAAACAGGCAGATAGTCATAGACAGACAGAGAGAGACAGACAGACAGATAGATGGGTGGACAGATAGATAGACAGACAGATGGATAGACGGACGAAAAGAGAGTTAGTTAGATAGTCAGACACAGAGAGAGACAGATGGATGGACGGACAGATAGATGGATGGATGGAGGGATAGATAGATAGATAGATACACAGACAGACAGACAGACAGACAGATGGATGGAAGGACGAACAGACAGATAGTCATAGACAGACAGAGAGAGACAGACAGATAGACGGGTGGACAGATAGATAGACAGACGGATGGATAGAAGGACGAAAAGACAGTAAGTTAGATTCTAAGTTAGTTAGATAGTCAGACAGACAGAGAGAGACAGATGGATGGATGGACGGACGGAGGGATAGATAGACAGACAGACAGATGGATAGATAGAAGGAGGGACAGACAGATAGATAGTCAGACAGACAGAGAGACAAACAGATGGACGGACGGACGGACTAACAGACAGACAGACAGATAGATAGATAGACAGACAGACAGACAGACAGACGGATGGATGGATAGAAGGACAGACAGACAGATAGATAGTCAGACAGACAGACAGAGAGAGACAAACGGATGGATGGACAGATATATGGACAGACGGACAGACGAACAGACAGATAGATAGATAGATAGATAGATAGATAGATAGATGGACGGATGGATAGAAGGATGGACAGAGAGAGACAAACAGATAGATGGATGGACGGACGGACGGACGGACGGACTTTAATCATATTAACTAAGTAATTAATTTAAACATGACACATTGAATGTCATTTACATTTTTTATACAAAATCAGTATTATATATATAGCTAATTAGCAACTAATATATATATAGACAGACAGACAGACAGATAAGATAGATAGATAGCTAGATAGATAGATAGCAACTAATATATATATAGACAGACAGACAGATAGATAGACAAACAGACAGATAGATAGATAGATAGATAGATAGATAGATAGACAGATAGACGGATGATAGAAGGACGAAAAGACAGTAAGTTAGATTCTAAGTTAGTTAGATAGTCAGATAGACAGAGAGAGACAGAGAGAGACAGATGGATGGATGGATGGATGGATGGATGGACGGAGGGATAGATAGATAGATAGATAGACAGACAGACAGACGGATGGATAGAAGGACGGACAGACAGATAGATAGTCAGACAGACAGAGAGAGACAAACAGATGGATGGACGGACGGACGAACAGACAGACAGACAGACAGACAGACAGACAGACAGACAGACAGACAGACAGACAGACAGATAGATAGATAGATAGATAGATAGATAGATAGATAGATAGATTAGCATAAAAGCCATTCACCAGTCTCTCTCAATGTGTAGTCGGGATTCTTTGTTTTCTTGTATTCTTTGGGAGGATCACAGCACACCATCAATGCCAGAGTCCCAGAGAGGAGGAGGAGGATGGGGAGGAGGAGGAGGGATGTCCCATCCGCTGGTGATGGGTGACCACTTCCAATAGGATAGGAGGGGTTTACGGAAAGGTCTGTTTTAATCGCTCTCACGCCGATTTTATTCGTTCATCGATGACTATCATCTCGAAACGACAGCGCATGCATATAAGGTAAGTTTGCACGCTTCTCTCGGTCTATTGTTCGTTGCATACAACGACGCTGCCGTGCACTAGTTCGTGCACTTCGTTGACAAAGAGAACATTGCATTGTCGCTTTCTAAGCATTAGACTTGAGACTTGAATCGCCCTCGATGATCGTGACTGTGTAGGCTGATGTAAGTTGCTAGTTGCATCTGTTAACGTGTTGACATCGTAGCGCGCGTGTATGGTTCATGCATGTAACAGTGGTCTGTCAAAGTACCGATACAATTCAATTACGTGACTAAATATCTCAATTAAAATCCCAGGCCATTTGAAGTTCGTCTCGTTCTGTGTAACGAAGAAGTCTCGTTCAAACGACGCACAAGGCACACGCAGTTATAGGACTGTCGTGAATCGTGAAGGTGTTTTCACTGGAGACGTCATGTTATTAACTATTTGAACTAATATACTGTTGTTTTATCCTTCCAACTACGCTTTATCATCTTTAGGAGCACCGGCTTGTGAATTATCTTAATTAACTTGATTAACTTTATTGCCAGATACCCTTTTCATTGTCTGCTCTGGGAAAGTGTGAAAGCTCATCATTCATTCTCATGAATATTAATTGCTGTTATACAAATTCCATGCTATCGGACTAAAATAATTGCGCTGCTGTGGTTGAATATAAAGGCACAATGAGTCGACGTTGTGCATTATTTTCCTTAATATAATCTGCATTAAATTCAATAAACTGTCATTATTTATGGAGGAATATGAATACAGATGTATAAGTGGTATGATGTTCTTAAACTTTCATGTGTAGTGTAGCACATTGACTTTTCTCATGTAGATTGGCAATACAGAAATGACTTGATTTAACTTTTACATTAAGAATAGCCTTTCTGAGTGACAACTTTCTCTTTGGAAAAAAATCAATGATGTAGTGAATGAAGTCTTAGCTTAATTAATAATTCCAGTTGACTCTTGGAATTTCCGATTGACTTTTTTTTTTCTCCAGGAAAAAGGTCTTGTATTCAGTGGCACCTTGAAACCTAATAGGACAAATGAAATACATCTCACACACTGTACTCTTCTCCCCATCAACCCCACCTCCTCATTTCCTCCAGCTCTATCTCTCCTTCTCGTACTTACATCTTGACCATTGCTCAATACTGTATTCTGCCATTTATTAGAAGTAGTGGACATCATTACATGTACTGTATACTGGATCTGTTCCTGTAAGACATCACACTAATTAAAAAAGAACAGCTCATATGCCCTTGTTGTACTTTCCTCAAACAAGATCGATGCAAACCCAACTTCCCGGAACGCTCTAAAGATAGTAGTGTATTGTTTCAATAATAAAACCTAAATTGAACATTCTTGGAATGTTAGATATTGAAAATATCAAAAATACCAAACAGCAACCGTACACTAACATTAGTAAAACCAGGGATTGAAATGAACTTTTTCACTCACCAGCCAATTTGGCTACTAAATTTTTAAGTTACCGGCCATTCATAACTTCTACTAGCCAAAAAAACAAACAAACAACAAGACAGAAATAAACCAACAGTTTGAGGCTGTCTACACTGGGCATGACAAAGCTTGATTTTTACCTTTTATGGGCATTTTTACCTTTATAAAGCCATTTTTTCTAAAAGTGTACATAATCTTTTGAGTAAAATTCTTACATTTAATCAGTCAATTATAATAATAATACATTTAGGCTGTTGCTAAACAAATGAAATCAGTATTAATAAAATTCATCTTTGCAGAAGTTGCATATGAAGTGGCATTTAGATTTACACATGTTAAAAATGCAGCTTAGAGGGACATGGAATGCTTTAACCTGCAGTTACAAATGCATAAATAATGTTTTGATATTTTAAGGCAGCAAGTCACGGTTAATAAGTGAGTCATTGCGATTGAACCGAATCATTTAAACGGTTGATTCATTCAGGAACAAAACAGAGTCATGATACTCAGAGACGCAAAACAGTACTATGGCTGTGTTTGGAATTTTTTTGTTGTTGTTGTTGTTGGCGAAATATCGCAAAAACAGCCAATATGGTGTCTAAAACGTAAGTCTCTTGATATTAACTTATTGTTTATTGAACTGTTGTATAAAAAACCTCAACATGTTCACGAGTCTCAGACGCTAAACTCAAGTCACGTCTTTGGAGTTCAGGGTTTTCTAAACAGCACAGATTAGTTTTATAAACCTGAGCCGTTCGTTTCATGCATTGAGAGTCGAGTCTGAAACACACCGAGACGGATCTCTCTCATCGGCTTCGGTCACAGATACGAGTCAAACGTGTTCAGAGCATATTAACCTCAAACAGGTTCCACCGCTCACTCGTAATAGACTGAATCATGCAGTGAAAGAACTCACTCTAAATGCGCACACGCACTACAGCCTGTGTTGGTCTAACCAGACTTCATCACGTCGCGTATGCGTGCCTCTGTAGGTATGTTTTGTTTAGTTTTTGCAATATACTCGATAATGTGATGATGTCTCACGAGTTCAGTATTTGCGCTAAACTGAAGATTTGGCCTGCATGAACTTCCCCAAGAAATTAATGAGTGAACATAACTTACGAAAACTAACCCAAAGTAACCCGCCAAATTGGCTACTGATTTGACAGCGCTACCCGCCACAGCTGAGTTTTACCCGCATTTGGCGGGTGTTAATTTCAAACCCTGAGTAAAATATATTGTGGAAAGCGTTGTTTTTGCCCTCTTGAGGTGAATCATTAAATAATAACCCATCCATCTGTGTGCACCCAATCAAATAATAGCTGCCGATTTCAATTGGGATGTGTTTGTGAGATCTAATTGTCTGATGTTTATGTAAACAGCATACAATGCGTTTATCTTAAAGGGGTCATATGATGCGATTTCAATTTTTCCTTTCTCTTTGGAGTGTTACAAGCTCTTGGTGCATAA